AACGATGCCGAAATACAAATTGAACCACATCATTCTAGTGGGATAGTTTAAGGTGATTGACTTTACATGCCAAAACCTTTTTAGGTGACATTTTCGCACGCATGTTCGTCGAAATTTATGGATATTTGCATCCGTGCATGTCAGTATGGACTACACTGAAAACAGCCTATGAAAATCACCTGTTTTCAAACACCACGAACGCATTCAAAAGACATCTTACGCAGTCACTGGTCTCTGGTGCACTAGATTCGTAAAGATTTGCACGATACTGACCGATGAGTCGATCGGTTGCTCTTTAAAATGGTTGTAATAACTTTCTTTGGAGCTCCGCATTATGGAAGAAAATGGTCAATGGGTTTACCAAGGACGTCCCATGATGGAGAGTTAAAACTTCCTTCCGGAACAAGGGTCTCGCAGAAAATAGGGTGGCACAACATGAGCAACATACAAACTTGCCACCGGTGTCTTGCGAAACCGAACCAAGTTTTCTGATAGGCCACGGTTTAAACTCTCATTTGGTGCGTATTTCACTTCATGCGCCATACGCACAGTAATGCGAGGCTTTTGTTTTCAAAAACTAGAGAAATTGTTTCTGGATAACGGTGAACATCAAATACCAGCATGCTGCAAAGCGACGTGTGGTATGTCAAGATATAGTTTTCGGTGAAAAGCCAGCATTCACCCAACAAAGTGTGGAACTTTCAGTATAGTAATAAGATGTTCGGTTTGCAACCGAAAGCGCAGAGGAGTTTCTTTGAAAATATTCCGAGTTTGTAAAGCCATCAAACGAAAACGCATGGTAAAGAGCTAAGAGTTCACTGTGGTGATAAACAAGCAGGATATTACTACGGAAATCGGTCATCACCGGATAGCGACCGGGTTCTCCTCATAGATAGTGGCGATGCGAACAATTCGGTGCTCCAAATGACCCATGAACAACTTCAGTGCGTCTCAAAACTGAAATGACACCAGAGTTGCATTGGACGCAGTGGCATATTTCCACGCCCACCGCATGGTAACACAATTTGCCCGTCAGTATGCGGAAGGAACGTAAGTAGCGTAAACAGGGACGAACCAACATCAATGTACCCGCAGTATTGCACGACTGTTGTCCGTCTTAAAGTATCATCCATTTCAGAGTCCTGGTCGTAAAATACAGCACTGCCTCTGTATGTAAGCCGTCATATCATGAAATGACTTATATATCGACGTCGATTATCATTCAGTTCACGAGGAATTGTACTATCCTCTGCCGTACATGTCATAGAAACCACCAATTTTGTATCAGTTTGTACTAGACTGAAAAAGAGTCTGAAATACATGTCACTGCATTGGTCCTACAGAATAGCTGCCATCCGTGCAACAAGCGAACCATTTTGAGTAACTTAGGTTCTGGCGGCAGCTGCCATCCGTGCAACAAGCGAATAGGTACTTTAACCATTTTGAGTAACTTAGGTTCTGGCGGAAGTTTCAACTAGAAAACAGAATTGATAAATTTTCATAAAGGAAACTACCCGCAAGGTTGCTGAAACTCTTCGACCTTGTGAGTAGTTTCCTTTATGAAAATATATTGCGATATCTCGAATATCGTGCCAACTGAATCATGAGGCGGCCTGTGTGTAGCACATTCAGCTGGAGGACATCATAAACGAGAAATTCAATTGAGTCTCCCGTGAAAACCAAACTGATTTGCAAATGAGTGTTTCTCGAGAATTGATAGAGGATGATGGGGAAACGTGATGCAACTGCATCTTTGCAGGCTATGGCTGATAAATCCTAGATGCTAACAAACAGGCGGGTTGATGGATAACCTACGGGCAATGGAGAGGTTCTGACAGCTTGCTGTATACGACTATTCGGTGTAAGAGGGTATGGACGTATGAGTTCGGAGTTATGTGTGCCACAGTGTGTAGCTCAAAGCTTTCTATGTACTAAAAGTCCACCAACCGAGATGACCCACGTACTGGTAATTTATCTTAAACGTCCAGAAAAATTACATAAAAATAGTATGAGTGTACAGTAGGTGCGTATCAGTGTAGAGTACAGTAGGCAGTATTAGTGCCATAATCTCTGAAATGACAAGAATGGTTGCTTGTCAGCGAAAACTCCTGGTGAGGGGTGACAGAGATCTTCTGCTTAGACCAATTGAGTACCCAGATAAATTTCAAGTTAATGGTTAGCCAGACACCCAAATATATTTATATCCGGCTACAAAGTTGTGGTACTCCGACTAAGCATAGAAACGGTTTTTTTACTTCATCGAACACATCCCATGTTGCAAACAGAACCATGTTGCAAATGGAATCATTGACAACTAGTACCATTATTAGTCTTATTTGTAATGTGTCATTGCACACACACTTTAAAGCCCAGCACCGGCACTGTCGACCAAGAATTCAAGCCAACTTGATCTGGAGGAACACTTATGCTGGCGACTTAGTAGTTAGGACCCTTACTTAAACGGTGGCGAGTGTCAATTCCAACAAATGCGTTGAAATGCCCAGAGAAAAACTGTTTATTTACTAAGAATGGCATTGGTTCTATGAATTCCCGTAAGAACTTCCCACACAGTAAACTTGGGTGACTCTTAGAATGGAGTTTATCGAGATCAATCGAAGATTTCACTCTAGGAGCGTTTCAACTTCACCTTAAAGAACAACTTTGGTGTTCCAAAGGAAGATCGCCCGAATATTAGTGCGCGTGCTCAAAAGACGTGCGCAGAGTAAAATGAATGCACCAACTTTATGCCCCTCCGATAAGTGTTAGCCCGAGAGATTAGGTGTACATTGTGAACAGACGTTTGGGCATGAAATTGTCGAAATAAATGGCCGGGTATTTCTAGCAATCCTCCAGTGCGAATATGCAGGTGTAGTACTTGAAAAAGTGGACTTTGAAGTGATGCACAAAATGACCTCATTGAACAAGCTAAATATATGTACCACGTCTTGCATTTGGCAAGTATGGATGACTCGAGCACTTCATACCACTTTATACTACTTCCTAAAAAATCCCTACTGCGAACAGGCCCAGATAGGGCCAAACCAGGTCATGAGGCCACCGCCGCTGAGTTCCTCTTCGAGATATAGCAATGGTAACAATAGCTGACCGGTCTTAACATGCATGAATGAATAGCAGACGTAAACTGCAGACCGTTTATGAGCAAACAACGGGACGTTAGGTTGAGCGAATTCGACGGCCTCCGCTGTCCACAGAATCCTTCTCTTCACAAATTCAGCTTCCCATTTCGTCTCTCGGTTTACTGGTATAGCAGTGCGAATATGCAGGTGTAGTACTTCAAAAACGTGGAATTTGAAGTGATGCGCAAAATGACCTCATTGAGCAAGCTAAATATATATACCACGTCTTGCATTTGGCAAGTATGGATGACTCGAGCACTTCATACCACTTTATACTACTTCCTAAAAAATCCCTACTGCGAACAGGCCCAGATAGGGCCAAACCAGGTCATGAGGCCACCGCCGCTGAGTTCCTCTTCGAGATATAGCAATGGTAACAATAGCTGACCGGTCTTAACATGCATGAATGAATAGCAGACGTAAACTGCAGACCGTTTATGAGCAAACAACGGGACGTTAGGTTGAGCGAATTCGACGGCCTCCGCTGTCCACAGAATCCTTCTCTTCACAAATTCAGCTTCCCATTTCGTCTCTCGGTTTACTGGTATATGAATCCGGTCAACAGCTGAAGCGGTCGCAATCCGACTAGCCCGTCCAATCACTCCCTTCCGCACAGTGCCGTACTCCATGCTAGTCTGACCCCGTCCGATGTAGCCGTGAACTCATCTAGGGAGTTTCCAGTGGCATGGTCCCAACAAGAAAAGTGGGAACAATGAGATGGGTGTTCAAAGGACAATATCTATACGCTGGGCACTGAGAACAAGATATTGCGCACCAGTTCAGCTGCCACAAGCTGTCTTCTGGAAACCAGTTTTTTTTCTGCGAAAATGACGGAAGTAGCAATTTATTTGTGTATGTGCAATTCATGGTAGTAGTAGTAGTAGAAGTAGCACTATGACCCATCACCTCATTCAGGCAAAATGATGTGTAGTTGATGGATAGGAACAAGGAGGTGTTTCCATCCCTGAAAGACGGCACCATACAACCCATTAAATATGAGCACATCAGTAATGGTTCATTAATTGGTCCTGAGTTGGGTTAAACTAAATTACTTGAGCCTCCTAGCGATAGGTCTACAGTAAAGGTAAACTAGATCTGCGTTCCAAGTATTTCATCGGGAGAGTTACCTGGGAATCAAAAATTGGTTCTTATAAGGGGGTTCTTTTTAAAGGTCTTGTTCGACGGATAGAGACAATACTCAGTTTCTCCCTCTTCCCGGTCCGTTGTTGGTAGTTCAAAAACTTCTTTACGCCTAGTCTTTAGCTGAGTCCTCTTAGTTGCAACTTGCGCCCGAACCTCGTTCTGGACTACTGGGGCTTTTCACAGAGGTTAGCCATCGACACGAATTCCGTTGTTAGAGGAATATTGTCAGATCTGTCAACCTAAACCATACAAGATTAGGTTGTGTGACATCCCCGGCTGTCGGAGCCAAAAAAACTCCATTGAAATTGAAGCCCTATGACCCATAGGACAGAGATCCTTTTCGAAAAAAGGGAAAATAAAATAACCGTTCAGCCATGAGCCTTTTCGGTGAATGGCCGCCGTACAACTAGGAGCAACCACGAGGCTTGAGAGCAGCGACCGAGACGAACGACGGGCCGTCCAGTCAGTAAGTTAACGCCTTAACCAATGAACCATCTCGAGCTCATCGATTCCGAAAACCGAATAATCAGATGCTACTAAATCCAGCCGAATAGTTAAAGCTACGAGAGATCCTTGTACCGCCCTTAAAGATCAAGCAATAATACAGCGTTTACAAAATATGCGAATGGCGCTATTTTTATTTCGTGATAGCTAATTTATAGTGTGCAAGGTCCTCATCAGACACGGTGGCAGGAGCACCGCACATGAGATCTTTTCCGTCAGCAACTTTCGGAAATGCGATGACGTCTCGTATTGTTTTGGTGTTTAGAAGTATCGCAAACAGTCGATCTAAACCTGAAAGAGAGGTTAATGAAAGACACGATGAGTGAGTTACCTAGAGCAATGCCTCCGTGGGGTGGAGCTCCGGACTTTAAAGCCTTGATGAAGTAATCCATGAATTTTGTATCTTCCTGTGAAACACGATATCACACTCACAAACGATAGACATACCCTGAGAATCGTCGATAACACGTATTCTTGCAAAGACCCGTCATGGATACGGATAGAACCACCGCCTATCTCTTGGCCGTTGCATACCAGATCATAATGCTGCCCGACCACTTTACCGGGATCCGTATAAATGAAGTCCAGAGTCTCCGATGTGGGTGCAGTGAACGGATGATGAACTGACTCCCAAGTCCCTGAAATCACAGAAATCGCCTGAAAATGATCGACTGACATGAGCGAATCACAGCATTCGGTGCATTTCGCCCGAAAAATGGCAAAATTGCAAAGGACTGGAACCATTACAAAGGCTATAATCGTCACACAATGATGCAATACCATAAAATTAACGGCTGATGTACCGGTGATTCAGTTACACTAATAAAGAGGAATTTCATCTTCTCCGTGTTATCGTCCGCGAGTTTCGCTTAAATTCCAAATAACTGCGCAGACCAAGCAACTGCACTCGTCCTTTAGGTATAGATATTCACTTTATCTCATTCTGAACCCAGTGATGGGTCTAGATTTGGTACAATGGACTCTTAATATCGGGAGCCGAACTAGAAGACCACCCCGACTGCAAATAAGTCGCTCTAACAGAAGCGTTCGCAAAATAGGTCCCCAGGAAGGCTACTATTCAACCAGTTTTATAAGGACCATTTGTCAGCCTGCGAACACTCTCCAACAACACATACTCGGCTCGTTTGGGTGTAGTTGGCAGTACAGATAGTTTTGCACTCATTCACACAACACACTATTGAATCCTAAAATGAATAAACTTTGTGAGGCCAGGGTTCGACGCTTGGATTCATTGAACAAACCGCAATTATTCGGGTACACCGGCCACTAAACGCAATCCAAACACCGTGTCTGGTAGTAAAAATCAGGCCTGCGTATCAACAGTGGTAAGATTTATGCCACTTATTCCGCCTGAAAATTTATCCCCAAATGTAGAACTTCAAGAGGCCAGATGGCATCCATAGGTATCAGAGGGGAATCAGTTTTTCTTAAAGGAGGAAAAAGCTCCACCATTGGCAACCAGCCCCAGTTCGTGAACGGGACTGGTGCAAAACCGCTGTATGTGCTTTCATACATGGTAATAGTTCATCATCCGAGTTAGTCCTGAAATTATTGTCTCCGTTCCGGTTTCCTTTACTCTCTATTGAGATGCCAGTAGCATTCGAGAGTTGCACGCCATACCGCTGCGTTGTCTCGTGCTGCGCCCACAAAATTGAGTTTTGTGTGGATGCCTAACTAAAGATAGACCCAAAATTTCATAGTTCATAAGCTAGAAGCAAGTTAAAAACTGCAACTCATTATCACAATGCGCGTGGAAGCCGTGTTGTAGCAACTAGGACACAGATTGAGACCCACTAGCTCATTGGAAATCGAGGAAAAAAGGTTTCATTTACAGGCCACTGGGTACACTTTTGTCCGTAAAACCTGTGCACAAGCCAAGGTTTATATTCAAGAAATGCGAAAGTGGCATGCTGCTCCCAAGGGAGTGCCGGAAAAAACGTCCCTGCAGTCAACTGGGTCAAGGGGAACAAAACACAAATAGGGGTGTACGGCAACGTTTGGAGCAAAGTGACAGACCCATACTAGTGATGTGGATTGTAAAAAATTAGTCTGCAGAAATACTGAATCGTCGACTGGGAGATAACTAGTCGTCACATTCAAATGTATCAATAATTTTTACTTTACTTGGTTAGACGTCTTCTTTGTTGTTCAGAAAAGCTCCGGGATAATCCGAAGGCAGACAACCTCCGACAGCCGACGCTGGTGAATTTCACGCCACTGTGTTGATCAGGCTAGCGTTCGACACCAAAAAAACGACCGGCTGAATCTCTTTTTATCCACACCGGGAGCCGAAAGTGGCTCTCCATCACAAGTCTATGTATGGAACTGCGTAATCAAGGCAAACTGTGAACCGGACTTCATGGTCGCGCTGTTGCACCCTCTAAGCTTGTACCTCCTCTTTATCATCCCTAAAAATTCGGTTCACCCAGGTCGATGCAAACGAAAATTGTGGTAGAGTTGAGAATTTGTTTCACGATCGACCCTACATGCACTGGTGTTAATTTCGAAAACACGGGCTAGTTATGCATTGAGGTCACTCAGTAAAAACAAATTCAATCATGTAAGATGCAGGTTTCGATGCAGAGAAACTAAACAAAAAGGCGTGGCCTGAATGATAATTCCTACCTGTTTCTGTTCGTTCGAATAGTGGAAAATCATAAACCCACAAGAAATGGAATCCAGGCTGGTATATCGGCACACCTGAAACAAAAAGTTAACAGAAATTCAGATTTGTGGGGAAATGAAGGATTTCAGGTGCAGCTTCACGGGAACCCAACAATATACCGGATTGTGAATTTACACGTTGTAATACATGCGTTTGCACCCAATGATTGGTGATCTAACTGAAGCTGACTTGAATGCAGTCTTCCTTCCAGCAGCTCAACCTCCATGTGAAATACTCGCTTTCTGTAAACACTCCAGGGGAATTGGGCCAGTGTAGGATAGGTGATCGCATCAGAGGGACCAAGTCAAGGAATAGCAGAATAACTGATCTCACGCAAGTAATCAGCAAGACGGAGCACTGCACTTCAACCATATTCGGTCAGTCGGCTCCTAGACAGATAACTCCAATATCTTGGCACGGTCAACGACATTTGAGTAAATCAGAACGTGAGACTCGTGAAAAAAACGTCACTAATGAATAACTCAACAAAATAAGTTGTAGAGACTTTTGTAAGAAAGATGCGAAAATCCAAGTCTTCCAGAAGAAAACATCATTTTTAAGCTAAGGCGACTCATCACGACAAAGTTCCTATGCAACGCCTTTACTAATAGCGACAATACGTTTAGTGAAGACGCAAGAATATCGCGAGATATTGTTTGGTGACAGGCTGAAGAAGTTATTAAAAAAAGAGGTGGGTGATAAAGGTCAAGTCGGTAGCTAAAGCCCTGCAAATCGTTACAATCTGTTTGCCCACTGTTCCAATATTGGGTAGTGAATGTTTTCAGTCATTCAGTTCATGGTATAGACGCAGACAGAAAGTGGTGTGGAAACTTCGCTATTTGTTTGGATGAGAAAATCCAGTTCGGAAACCAGCCGGTATATTCGCGTTAGAAGGTTGAGACACATCCGACACTGTTCCTATGAATATTCTGACATGATGTATCCCCAGTGGGTATCAAATAAACGTTGATCCAAGAGAGGGGGGCTCGAACTAAGCTGATCCGACCTCACGACATTTCCTAATGGAAGGATGGGTGTCAAGAACGAACCGGTTAAAAGTTGATCCCGTGGATTCTAAATCCATGAGATCCTTTCTACATAAGAGCTTTTACCGTTTGTATCCTGTATCAAATTAGCAAAGAGGCGATGCTCACTGAAACCTTATACTCCCTTAAAATTGATGTATGTTGTGTCTCCCAAAACACGCATACAAGACCAAGCGTAGTTACGCATCTCAGAACGCCAAAACGAACTCATATTTCTCCCTCCGTGTGGCCGGTGATCCACAAATAATGACTCGTGGAATATATCACGTGGGAGTTGCATCCATCCCCAAAGCTGAACGCGCTCTGCTGGATTGGATTCCAGTGAACAGTCGTCTTTGCACTGTCCGGTGATCCAAATCAATCAAACCCAATGCCTGTTGACATAAAAAACGGTGTCTGTTTGTGGTGTGTTGTTTTATGCCGCAAAGGACTGCAGTTCTGATTCTGAGAAGAATACTTACTATCGAGAGCCAAACCCAATGCCTGTTGACTGTTTGTCTGTCTGCCTGTCTGTTTGTAATGTGTCGTTTTATGCCCCAACGGATTCTGAGAAGAATACTTACTATCGAGAGCTATACGAGTTCACTCGTCAAGCAAGAAACATTGCGATTCTTGCGGGCAATATGAATGCCCAAGTCCGTCGTCTGAGCTCCTTGGTATCACATCTGTTCAGTCGGCTCGGAGTCAATGATCGTAGCATAGACAATGGAGAGCGACTCTTCTAGATGAATGCTAATCATCAACTGTTTCTGGCCAGGACAGATTTCTAACAGAAACATTCGCATCGCGTAACCTGGCGGTCATCAAATGCAACTCAGTTGGATTACGTGGCCATCAGCCACTGGTAGAGAGCTACAGCTCAAGACTACCGTTCCTTCCGGGGCGCACAACGTGATCCTGATCTCGTTGTCGCGCGAGCACGCCTAGGCGTTCTTTTCTCTTCAGGCCCTCCCAGATCTGCAACAGACATCTCAGTCCACCATCTTCGGAGAACCAGCATAGCTCAACAGTATCGATCTGAGCTAGCTCAAAAACTCTATACAGTGAACCAAAACTTTACTGGTAGCGGTCACGCGGACAAATCTCGGCAAAATGTGAATGGAGCTATGCTAGGGGCATTCAGTGCTCTGTCCGGCTTCCCTAAAACGACCAAATGACCACTGGATATCATCGGGACCGCTGGTCATGATTAATGCCAGGAAATTTATACCAGCAGGCAACGAGTACGACGTCGAACACTAATCCCTCCAATGCCAATTCGTGAAAAGCATAGGAAAAGACCGAGAGTTCTGGTGGACATTGGGAGCACGGGAGACAGAAACATCCGTGTCCTATACTAGCTGAATGACCGACTGGCCCTAGGAAACTATAAGTGAAAACGGCGACGCACTAATTCACCCGCAAAAAGGTCGACTAGAAAGATGGACCAAACACTTCGTTAAACAGTTCAGCTGGCCTACTGCAACAGCCCGTGAAGATAGTGCATACGGGCGAATTAATGAATAAAGTGTGAAATATCCCTATTAAAACGTGAAGAGGTACCAGGACCGGACGGTATGTATCTAGCCCTCCTCAAAAGAGGTGGGGAATGCCTTGTTACCATTTGAGAAGGCTCTTTGGTGCGATATGAAATGAAAAATCCCTACAGCACGGATCAAGTCGATCTTCAAAAAGTGTACGTAAACACTGCAAAAAACCACCGTGGGGCCGGCCTGGAGGCTCTGGCATCGAAGGTGCTCTTTTGTCTTATCCTTCGAAGGTTGACTGACACAGACCCATTAAAACCAAACTAGGTTCCGTCCTGCAAGCGGATGCATCGATCACATTTTCACCCTCTGATAGATTCTAGAACGACGACACTAAGTCCAGCAACCAACAATGGTTGCCTTCGTTGACTTGAAAGCTGTCTTTGACTCTGTGGACGGTCGAGCACTGTGGCAGTCTGTGGAGCAAAGGTATCCCATAAATTCTTGACCTACCCTAAGGTGCTGGACACCAACTCCCGCGGACGTGTGAAGGTCTGTGGGAAGCTTTCGCGTGAGTTTTCCACACAGTGTTGTCAGACAAGAGTGTCCTCTTTCACCATTCCTAGTCAACTTCGTCGTTGGTCCGATTGTTGAAGACCCACTAACAGTCTCTAATGCACGGGGCATTAGCTCACAGATATCGAGTAAGCAAGCGACACAGCTCTTCTTGGATCTGACGCCGTGGTAATGCAAACAATAGTAGATAATCTAAATAATTCTGCCTCAAGGTTTGGCATGTGCTTCACACCTGCAAAGTGTAAAGTGCTACTGCAAGGCTAGATGGGTTCGAACCCTAACATCGTGTCTGTGGATGAGCCAACTGAGTTAGTAGACAAGTTGATCTACCCGGTCAGTCCCGGTGGTCTAGCGAAAGATGCTATTTCCACCAAGATTGAGAGGTCCAGAGCAGATTCTGTGAACCCGCAGCACCTGTGGTATAGGCGTCATATTAGCTTATCCGTCGAGGGTCAAGTTTACAATCTTGTGTCGCGCTTTATGTTGCTATACGGATAAGAAACCTGGCCGCCATGCGCCGAAGACGTCAAAATACTCTCAATGTTTGACCATCGATGTCTTCGGAGCATTACCCGAGTCTGGTAGGAACAGTGATATTGAAGTACGCCGAATGGTTTTTGGAAGAAATAGCTCACCCACGAACCGATCACACCCCGCACGTTGCGCTGGCTTGCTCATGTGCTCCGTATGCCAGTCGACCGATTTCCTCGAAAGACTGTTTTCACACAACCACGCGGTGGAAACGAGTCAGGGAAGGTCAAACAATATCTTGGCACCAAAGTATGAAGGCCATTACCAGTAAAATCAGGCCGCATTCCTGGATGGGGACCCAGAGATGGGACACACCTACGGTTGGAGACATGGCCCAGTCGAGCCCTCAATGACACTCGTGCATCCAAGCTATTGAATCCAACTCACAGCACCCTTCCAAATCTCCCAGATTAAAAGTTCACTGACAACCCTATAGTTACGCGTCAATCATATCAGCTCCCGCAACCAATGCGCAGCTGTCTACCCCATCTCTCAAATCCGCAGTGAATGAAACTGTGGAAATCATGACCACTGTACGATAGGTACGCGGTTCTTACAGCTGATAATGATTATGAGGATGATGCTGGGTCCACAAGGAGGTTATTAATGGGGTAGAGGTAGGGAGAGAAACCTATATGAAGAAATAAAGGAGGAGTCAGTAGTAGCCCTTTTTCGCATATCCTCCCCACTGTAAGCAAGAAGTAGGGCAACCCGGCTGATGGTACCACACGATGGTCGATGTGGCATGAGTTCATTTGTATATGTGTGCAATTCATGGTTGTACGTGGGTGATGATACTGCCAGGGCTCGCACACCTAAACAGAAGGACGATTAGTGTCCTCAGCAAGAGTCTTTGGCTCAAAAGGCTGACCTCTAGGCAGTGGTGTTTGGCAGGAAATGCAAGTGCACTTCACTTTTTACAGAACAAGCCAACACATGCTCCAACGCCCAACCTGGAGGACCCGGAGACTGTGTTCATCAGAACTCTAAACATTCACCAACCTTGTATGACTCTGTGAGTGTCGCGCGGACATCCTAAGTATAGCTCAATGAGTGGCAGTGGTACACAAACCGTCACACCACGGTAAGTTCCAGATATTCGTAAATGGACATAGATATATCCAGAGTAACGCAGTACTACTAAAGTTACAAATAACCGAAATGTCTGTCATCAATTCAGTAAGCAAAAAAACAGACAGTTCACAGATGTTTCTACAGGCAATTCCGCCCAATCATGATTCCCTCACTGGATTGTATGCATGAAGGCTCCGATACAGCATATATTCCACCTGACTCAGCACAACTGGGTTTTCTGTTTGTAGTGAAAAGTGATCTCAGTCGACAAAACAAAAGATGTGTTCATCTGATTCAAAAATCTCTAGAAATGCAAACAGCTTGTTCCGGTCGTTCAGAGTGAAGCTGGATTTTGCTACACCATCCGAATTACAGTATCATTCACGATGTATTTGCTGTGATGTGGCGCCCCCGAGCTATTCTTCTTGTTGCATAGTGACGATGTCCACTAACTCGAAATTACAACTCCATAGTGCATTTCCCCTCGTAGCGGTCGGTTTCTACAAGAAAGTTCTAAGGACCGCGTAGTGTATGTCCCTCAAGGGAGACAGCACGAGTCTGGCTGGTCCGGAGGATACATGCACTAGTGGTGGAACACCATAGTCTACAGGATCGCCGTGTGGTAATCAGGCAATAATGTTCCTACACTGGCGATAATGTCATTGATTACTATTCTCGTACGAAGCATACAACATGGCGACCACCCGATAGGGTTTGCGTTCATTTTTTAGCTTGCTTAGCGTGGTGACAACGCATTTAGTTGAAAGAGAGAGAAGCCCGCCGAGCCGTGGGTGATATCTCGGTGAATGACAACGCAAGTGAGCAACCGACCACTCACGGTTGATACGGCTACCTTTGGGTTCATACAAAAACGACGTAACTTGGCTGGCTAGCCACCAGTCTAACAGCGCACAAACGGGGTCAGTTTACCTTGACCACCAGCACAATACAAACTGCAAAAAGGCGTGCTCCGCACTAGTGAGATTTCACTGGATGCATTTATAGCACAAGCGACTGATGATGTACTGAGAACAGCACTGGTTTGCCCATTTCTTCCACAGTTGCTCTGTTGGTACTTTGATGGAGTTCCAAGCAAATAAACTAAATAGTCAATGGATGGGAACTAACCTTTTGAATCCAGTGCAGCGGCCAAATGTGTACGTGCCAATCCGAGAGCTTTCAGCTGTTGAGAAGATTAAAGCAGAGTAGAGAGAATATGCAAAAGACAAACCTCCTTTTCACTGCTTCCTTGGACGAACACGATCGTTTCACCCGGATCGGCTTTCAGGGATTCAACAAGTGTCAAGTGATCACCGCAACCGGGAGATACCTCGAAGTACGACACGCGCTTGAATAAAACGAAACGGAATGTAGCTTGAAAATTTTGTAATAAACCGTTCGTACCTACACGGTTTATGCAACGGAGCTAGGATACTCAGAATTGAGTATGAGAATAAAGATAAAACAGAAAATATTAGATTAATGCTCTATGTGGATCGTCTTCCATAAAAAACAAACATTTGAGCTGGGATATAGATATCGATATTCACAACGACCTACAACTCAACATGGTCTCGATTTGTCAGACGACACCCCGGTGTGTGGGTTTGACAAAGCCGCGTCTATAGACTTCCGCACACTCGTGGTGCATGAAAATGGTTAAAATACGCATAACGTCTATTAAATTACTAGTGAACCGTTTTCGCCTGTGAACCCCCACAGCATACCACCGATTGTATTGATGTTTCAAGCCTAAATGGAAGGTCACTAGATGTTCAGTGTTAATATGAGAAACATGGGTAAAATAGTGAGTCTCAAGCGTCCATTACGGGTCAGTTCGGTTTTCTAGTACGAGTGGAATGATAAACAAACTGCAAATCATCACCATACAACAACAACGTGGGCGTTGATACCCCAGCGCAGAATGGCAAGCGTAAAAAGGAGTTGCTTGCAATTATCGGTGCGCACGTGGAAAATAAGTTCCCACACAGAAAGTAGTGTATCGGTTTTAGAGTAGGAATTGGACTCCTTCAGGTTTGTGATGACGTCAGTGGTATTTACACAATCAGAGAAACGGGTTGCGTCAAAGTTTCATTTCTTAGCTGTCTTGGTGCCAGCTGTTTAAGATAATTCCTCTTGTGAGCGTCCGTTTTGCCGCACGATGAACAGTAATTCGTTGCGGGGTAAATTTAGACGGCGAATCGGTCCGTTCATAAAATGACCCAAGATGAATCGTTCTACCATAGGGCGAAATGTCGCCAAACTCATTGTCCAAAGAAAATTTCACGCAGCTCCAGGCGTTTGAACAAAGTTTGAACAAAGTTCCATTCCCAACTTTCATGTATACCCCAAAGACTACCATCGTCAACGATAACAACAAACACACCAACAGTAGCAGTAACCTTGGCATTGAAGTCACTGTCAGAAGATACATCAAACATAACTGCGAACTAGACCATTTTCAGCAACTGAGGCGAATATGAACTGTGTGGACGAAAATATCACACTATTGAAACACAAGCATCGATGGCCGGTTGTGCCGGAATGGAGACTAATCCCGAGTCTCAGAGCGAAAAGATGATAAGCACTGATTAGTTCATCACCACGTCACCGTCATTAACAGCAAAACACCAGTAATACATCCTGATGTCTAACTGACATGTAACATGTCGAGGGGAGGTGACTCAGCGCACTGCCGAAATTCTCTCAACTTGAATAAACAATCACTTCACAAACGTGAAGGACATTATCCAGCTATCATAGACTAGGACGTAGATATTTAGAATCTGTCCTGTATGAATGACCCACGAAGCAAATGTCACACCACCCCTCCCGTTACCCAAATGGACTGCTGCAATTCGACAACAGGTTACTCGAAACGTGCTCCGACCCCATCCGGGTCGTTTGATCTCTTCCTTGATTGCAGAGACCAGATTTCTGACCCATATAACAATATGGAGCACACAGCAGCATTTTGAACCCGAATATAGACAGATGAGCTGATGTTACGTCTGCGTCACAGGTGAAACAAGTTCATAAAAGCTGCTCTGGCTTATCCATTCCGGGTGAAAATATCATCCTTAACTAGACCACCGGGACGGCTACACAAATCTCTCTACTACTTCATTCGAATTGGCCGCAAGTGTGCGATTCTGGTCCGAGCACACCCACTTTTTCAGCAGCACTCTGAGCTTTTCAAGTGGTAAGCGCATGTCAAACTGTGAAGCAGAATTATTTACACTTTTGTTTTTTTAGTTAAACTATGGGTAAAAATTTAGACAGCATAAATAAAACACAAATCTAGGTTGATATAGATGTACATGAACTGCACTCGAAATCATATCGGCTCATGTGAATTTCAAATCGTTAGAGAATGAGGTTTTAATAAATGAGTCAAAACCGAACCGCCCAGGCCATAGACAGCTACAGTGGAGTCGGCTGGATAGCTAAAGAGATCGAGCGCCTCAAGGACCATCACAAAGTGCTTCCATCCTTTCATATGGACATCGTGAGGATAAAAGTCCCATTACTGAGGAGAAGCGCGTCAATCGTTTCAAACCCCTTCCAAAAATACATTCAGATAATGGGGTTAATACATCGTAAAAACAGGAAAAACTTCGAGTAGTTGCGATTCCCAACTGTCTAATGAGCAATGAAGTTGGCATACTTGTTTTTCACATACGACCTGAGGATGGGCAAGCCGATGGCAAAAAAACCCCATACAACAGGTCTTAGACAATGGACTTACCACACCGGTGATAGACATCACATCGCGTACAATGTTCGCCCAATCACCACTGTCCAGAGCGGAAACCTGAAGAAAAGACGATCAAAAAGTCCCGTGTATACGCAAAGTGGAGTAATGTCACATACTAGGTTAAAATTCTTGGACAGCATAAACTTTTTGAGTTTGCACGATGGACATAAACGGAACCAATTCATTTGCATCCAGTATTTGTGGATATAATGCAAAAGATCCACCACAGCAGTCAAAAAAGTTGAGGTAAGGTAACATTAGCCCCATGGTATACAAATCGTATGAACCTACACCTATGTAACCAATAACTAAGGAAGGTATGGTTGATCAAAAAGAGTACAGTAACGCCAGGACTATCGTCCTCATTGAGATCCATCAAGTGGACATAAATGAGATCCGTCAAGCGATCCCTTAGCTAACAATCATTGATGATCCACGTCAGAACCACACGACCGCAACTGTTCAAAACAATGCAGAGAGTAGCTCACGTTGTTTTAGCGCCTGACAGAGTGAATATTTGGTCAACGCAACCTCTACCAGGCCGGAACCCAGCTTGCTGATTTCGAGTCAGTGTTTTACAAGCCACCATAAGACGACAAAGGATATGTGACGCCAACAATCTCGTTACGACCGTGGTCGGGCTGATCCTCCCCATTCACTCACGCTAACTACGAGACCTTTTTGGGTACTATTATAGTCTTTCTCCAGTTGTTTGGAACAGCCTCCTTTTCCCAAATTCGGACAAACATGAGACAAGCATTGACTGAGGACTTCATCCCAACTCTTAACAATGCGGGTGGGAGGTCACCCGGACCAGAAGCTCGGTGGCACCTGAGAAAACATATGCAGTCACAAGCCTCCGAGGTCGCAAAGGGTTACACGTCCACCTTCCAGGGTTCTACGTCAGCTGTAGGCTCCAGATTAGTGGCTGCTGATGGCCACGATAACTACTGTCCGAAGTATTCGGCCCAACGGTCGAGTCGTTCATCTTTATTCAAGATGGTCGCTCCATTTTGATCTTTGATAGTTTCGCTCACAGGTGCTTTCTGAGGACCGGTCGCACGGATCAACTGAAATAATCTTCGAGGCACTACCGGCTTTCTAGGCCTCTTCCATCTCCTTAGCTTTTCGTATCTACCAGACTTCACGGTCTTTTTACACGCTTACTCACGCTTAAAATCTGATAATTCGTCGGGACCAGTGGGGATATTTCTTCGATATTTAAGCAGTACCACTGTTCGGTCTGGTATCCAGTGCTTGAATGGATCTGGTAGCGTCATGTCACAAGCAAAACTCCCAGCACTGTGCAAAGAGGCGGTGATCTCGTCCCAATATAAATCCGGTTCTAGTGGTGGAGCAGTTGAAAGAGACTCCAGAAGACGACTTTGGTGAATTCGGTTAACATTCTGATCTGCCAGTCCCTCAGTTGCTCAGCTATTTGTCCGCAAATTAAACGGCTCTGGAAGACGAAGGGAGAATCGACTTCAGTTTATTTAGAGATTACTTCAGTTTATTTCAAAAGTCAGTACTGGATAAAGATAGCCTGCAGTCAGCATATGGCTGAAGCACTCATTCCTCAATGTTTGCAAGTACCATTGTGAGGTTGAAAGAAGTTACATATACACACACCGCACACGTTTCAGAAACGGGTTACTGACGTCAAATACCAAACCCTGATTATAATAAGTGGCTTTTCTGGCACGCCATCAGCCCTCCAAAGGGTCCAAAGAGGGGTTGGGCAATCTCTGCACATTCCCAGGATTTTGCCTATTCCCCGTTCCTCCTGGACTCATACAGCTCCGCGTTGGTACTTTTTTTTCTTTCCCGCTCGATGTTTGAAATTTTATTGGGTTGTTTTGTTCCCGACTAACTGGACTATATCTCCAGGATGGCTTTGTCTGAGATCCAAATGTGGGTAGATGCTCTGTAACACAAACACAGAAACCAGTATTTTTCAGGATAATAAGGATTACATTCCATCGAACTCTCACATCGGTAGATGGATTAGCCGAAAGGAACTAGATTGGGTTGTTTTGATAAACCTGCTTTTTAGTAGGTTCTGAGAGCTTCCCGATGGCCAGGTGAGGTGAGTGCGTCTCCGAAAAGCACCAACGCAGTGATAGAAACTTGGAATCAGGAGCAAGTAGTAGTCAGCAACTGACTCATGTGATGTTGTTTATGGGTGCTTGAATCTAGCACAAAAGTGGAGGCACCCAGCGTTTGTTTTGTAGGTTGGTGCTTCATAGATCTGTGTGGTCAATATATGACTGCATCAGACGTGTCCATATGTCTCGATTCCATGTATCCCGGTAGAAGTTCTTGGATTCACTAGTGGCATCCAGTTGGCGTCAGATATTTAACACGGGTATCTTCATCCGTCTTGGTCTTGAACATACCATCCAACCCGATGAAATCAAATTATGTCCCGATAGAGAAACATTTGTGAGTGTTGTTTAATGAGTTCCCATACACTAATAGGCAGTTTACCGAGCCGTTGTCTTACACTGAACCTTCAATTTTTAGCACCTACCGAAAATCGTGTTTCACATTAATATCCCGTGACACAAAATCCGTCAATGTCTTTTTGAATGATCCGAAACCGGTCCTTTAAAAAGCTACCATGTATAATGCACTACCAGACAATAAGACCTATGTAGGATACTGACATCATCCAGTGATCTACCCCGCCAACTTTTCCCCCAAATTAGAAACCTCTCCTCCCCTAACGTCAGCAATTTGTATGACCCCGCAAGCTTCACCCACTTTATAGCGTGGGCGGTTCGCCTATTTGTGCCAATCAACACCAGGAATATTAATGAGCCAAAGGATTCGATGGCAGCTCAGTTATACGAATGTTAATTCGAATGTAGTGGGCCAGGCCCCTGCACTATCGAGTCATGAAAAATGAGATACGGTTCGCCTTTTGTGCCAATCAACACCAGGAATATTAATGAGCCAAAGGATTCGATGGCAGCTCAGTTATACGAATGTTAATTCGAATGTAGTGGGCCAGGCCCCTGCACTATCGAGTCATGAAAAATGAGATATTCCCGTCCTTTGTGAGTTGAATACAAGTCTTTTAGAAATATGTCACGTAACACTGCTTGTTAAAGGCAACCAAAAAACGAACTTTTCACGTGCTTAAGTACACGCGCCACGCATGTGCGTCTCATAAAACAGATCGTCGCTGCAGAAGCAGTAATCGGCGCTACTAAAGCAGATTATGCTAGCGCCAGACTCCCGTGGAAGACTGGACGTAGCAGTTAAGTGAGAACATGCTACTTATCTAATAAAAAGGACACGCATCTCCACGACCACGAATTTCAAACAGCAAACTGGTACAATCGACCTGAGTAACAAAAATATCTATATTCCTGCCGCCCCTATAAACTTTGCGATACTATTTGAGTAGTGTCTACCCCCCTCCGCAAATGTTCCAAAATACCGACCGGACCGCTATCTTTCGAACAAGCGTAAACAACCGCTCACACCTAATCCACTTTCACAGGATTCAGTCCGTTTGTCAGATCTTGTCCAGGTAGTATTCGGCATCCCACGCCTAGTATTGGGACGGGAAACATAAAGTAGGCCATAACGTATGGTGATGTGAGCATGCACTTGAGATGGAAGCCGCTGTTGCTGGAGTGTGGTAACCTATGCGTACAACAGGTCCTAATTGAAATATTTGAGAGACGGACGATACACCCGTATAAAACCTTTAAAATCGGTTACAGAGACGGTCACATAAATGGGTGACCAGAATTGACGACATTGTTCCATACGGCAAGTGCTCCGGCTCGGTCAGCTTCTTTGGAGGACCCGAGTCAAGGGAATATTGTTTTAAACTGCCATGTGGCACTATGTGGTGATGAGCTCCCATAAGTTGCGCTGGCTTTGTTACGTGCTCCGTATGCCAGTGGCCGACTTCCTCGAAAAACCCATTTTGTAGCACTATGTGTGAGCTCCCATAAGTTGCGCTGGCTTTGTTACGTGCTCCGTATGCCAGTGGCCGACTTCCTCGAAAAACCCATTTTGTACGTACTGGCGAAGCGCGAAAACGCGACAGGAAGGGTCAAACAATGACTTGGCAGAGAAGTGTGGCAGCCATTACCAGCAAAATCAACTGCGTCGATCAGGCCGTCTTCTGGATGGAGACCCCGAGATGGGACAGGTCGATGGCCCAGTACCATGTTCAGTGGCGCACATTAACCAAGACGTCAGCTTCAATACACAGCTTCCCTTCCTGACCTTCCTACTCCACTAACAACCAAGGCGTTTGGAGCAAATTC